ATGGGCTTCCAAAAGCGACGTTAGGCACTTTGCACCGCCTTTAAACCCCCCGCGCGCCTTCAAACCCTTCCCAGCGCCTTTGGCGTACTCCTGCATCGCAGCCTTGCCTTGCCTCTGCGTCAGGCGGGAGCCTGGGGAGAGAGCCTCTGGAACGTGCATCGCAGCCTTGCCTGCGTCAGGCGGGAGCCTGGGGAGAGAGCCTCTGGAACGTGCAGCCCGTGCACTGCAGCCCCAGCGCCTTTGGCCTACTCCTGCATCGCAACCGCAGCCTTGCCCTCTTATCGGCAGCAGGCCTGCCCTCCGCAGCGCCTGCAAACCCTTCCCAGCGCCTTTGGCCTACTCCTGCAGCGCAGCCTTGCCTGCGTCAGGCGGGAGCCTGGGGAGAGAGCCCTGGAACGTGCAGCCCGTGCTCCTATGGGCTTCCAAAAGCGACGTTAGGCATTTTGCACCGCCTTCAAACCCTCCCCCGCGGCTGCAAACCCTTCCCAGCGCCTTGCCCTCCCCCGCGGCTTCAAACCCTTCCCAGCGCCTTTGGCCTACTCCTGCATCGCAGCCTTGCCTGCGTCAGGCGGGAGCCTGGGGAGAGAGCCTCTGGAACGTGCAGCCCGTGCACTGCAGCCCCAGCGCCTTTGGCCTACTCCTGCATCGCAACCGCAGCCTTGCCCTCTTATCGGCAGCAGGCCTGCCCTCCGCAGCGTTCAAACCCTCCCCAGCGCGAAACCCTCTGGAACCGTACACTGCAGCCTTAGAACTGACCTCTGGAACCTGCCACCTCGGCCTGCACCTCGTTTCTTTGGGGTCCTCCAGGCACCGTCAAACCCTTCCCGGCACCTTTGGCCTAGTCCTGCAACACAGCCTGGCGCGGCTCCCCTTTGCCCGGTGGTTGCGTGGCTTCCGGATGATTGGTCTATACTCTATTTCTTTGTTTCGCGCTTGCGCTCTTGAACTTGCCACGTGTTTTTCGGGCATGGTTTTCCCGCTGGCGTGTTGTGTTGGCACCGAACGCGCCCAAACAACTGTGATGACCAGACCACAGTCTGGCACGCTGGGCATGTGTGCGGATGCTGCCGCGTCTGCGTGCTAACCGTGCCTTCTTTCACACAGAACTGGTTGCCGCACACGGTTCGGTGATCTATCTGCCCTGTCCTCACGTTACTTGCCACAGTTCCATTGCAAAATGGACACGCATAGACTAAGTTCTTCGCGGCAACGTGTCCGTCTTTGACACGAAAAAACTTCCCGCACACACGGCGGTGATCTACTTGGCCTGTGCGCACAGTGCTGGTCACAGACACCTCACAAAACGGACACGCATATTGGAACGTTTCCGCGGCGGCCGTCTGTCCAGCCAACTTTGCCGGCGGTGCGAGTGTCGTCTGCGCGGCTGTCGGGGTGGCTTGCGTCTCTTGTTGCGGCTTTGCATGCGAGTTTCGTAGTGGCGGCGGCGCTGTCCTGGCTTGGCTGCTCACCGACACGTGTTTTGCACGCTTCGCTGCAGGCTCTGCCTGTGCTACTTGCGTTGTCTGTGTGCAGGGCTGGGTCTTGGTGGGCGTCGGCTGTGCTTGCTTGTCTTGTTGTGGTTCCATGTGGCGTTTGCGCGACGGCAGGCTGTCTGTGGAGAGCCTTTGTGCCTCCGGTTCCGTCTTGCTTTGCGCCATCTGGCGTTCTTTTCTCCGATTCGGCTCCTGCGCCCGGGGAGCGAGCACCTCATGCTGCCGCGTCTGTGTGCTAACCGTGCCTTCTTTCACATGGAATCGGTTGCCGCACACGGTTCGGTGATCTACCCGCCCTGTCCTCACGTTACTCGCCACAGTTCCATTGCAAAATGGACACGCATAGACTAAGTTCTTGGCGGCAACGTGTCCGTCTTTGACACGAAACAACTTCCCGCACACACGGCGGTGATCTACTTGGCCTGTGCGCACAGTGCTGGTCACAGACACCTCACAAAACGGACACGCATATTGGAACGTTTCCGCGGCGGCCGTCTGTCCAGCCAACTTTGCCGGCGGTGCGCTTGTCGTCTGCACAACGGTCGGGGTGGCTTGCGTCGCTTGTTGCGGCTTTGCCTGCGACTTTCGTTGTGGCGGAGGCGCTGTCCTGGCTTGGCTGCTCACCGACACGTCTTCTGCACACTTCGCTGCAGGCTCTGCCTGTGCTACTTGCATTGTCTGAGTGCGGGGCTGGGTCTTGGTGGGCGTCGGCTGTGCGCGCTTGTCTTGTCGTGGTTCCATGCGGCGTTTGCGCGACGGCATGCTGTCTGTGGAGAGCCTTTGTGCCTCCGGTTCCGTCTTGCTTTGAGCCGTCTGGCTTTCTTTGCTCCGGTTCGGCTCCTGCGCCCGGGGAAAGAGCACCTCATCCTCGGCTTGCTTCTGTCGCACATGGTCAGCGATCTCTTCCCGTACAAGACCTATGACTTGCTGTCTCTTTTCTTCGGCTACTTTCGTCCGCGTCGCAGCCAGGCGCCGTATGGCTCTATGAGCGACACTTCGTGGCCACCGCTGCCCGTGGCAGCTGTCGACCGGTGCATCCGCCCGGGCAGGCCGTCCTCTGCACCGCGCACGTCCGTCGTTTGCGCGCTGCGCTGCTGCGCGCTGGGCCGCGCTGAGGACGCAAGCGTTGCAACGCTGCGTTCCGTTTTGCGGCGCAGTGCGCTGCCTGGACCAGGCGCTGAAGTCATTGCACGCCTTACGTTCCGCGCACACGGCGCAGCGCCATGCACCCTTCACTTTCATGGCGCAGTCCCTGCAGACACGTCGGTGTGCATGGCGCCCTGTCCACGCGGCCGCCCCGAATGCACTTTCCGGCTTGGCCGTACCGCACTTGTAGCACCGCTTCTGTGCCTCGCACGTCTGGCACACGCGGTAGAACGTGCATGCGGGGCGCGTGTACATTCTAGCAAAGGCGTCTTCGTGCTTCCATGCCTTGCAACTGTTGCATTGCCAGGGCGTGTTGTTGGCCGCGTAGTTGCGCACGCATTCTCTGCACACACGTGCGTCCGCGTCCCGTTTCCATTGCCCGGCGCTGTACCCGCTTCTGGGTTTGCTTTCGCGGCACTCGCTACACACTTCCTCCTCGCGGCGCCGCATGCGCAACGTTGCCCAGTCAATGCTCTCTCCGCGCCAGGCCTGCAACAGCAAAGCTCTCCCTACGCTGCGTCCTTTCTGATAGGGTGCAGCATCGAATGGTCTGTATATGTGTAACCCGTGTCTATCTTTCACTCGCGTCACAGCGATGTATGCGGTCAGCGGGTCTCCGCCTTCGCCGATCTGCATGTCCGTGACTGCCCCTTCTGCGTAAGTTTGGCCCTGCGCTGCGTGCGCCGTGGTGGCAAACCCGGGTGCCAACGGAAATTGCCGTCGCACCACCCGCAGCATGGGCCGCTTTCGGCCTTTGTCCAGATGCCACGCTTGCCGTTGGAGCGTCACCGGAAACACGTTGTCCGTGGCCAGCCCCTGCACTCGTCACCTCCACTCGCCGTAAGACGCCAGCCAACGGCCACGACGCACACACATCCACCAAGCCGCCTTCTTCTGTCTCTAGCGGCGGAAACCCCTCCGTCTCCACCCCATCGGTGTGCTGTGGCACTGCCCGCGTCGCTCGGCAGCACCCATCCGTCGCTCGACGCGCGGCTTGGCTGTCCCTTTGCAAGCCCCACATCGGATGGCTTCGCCCAACAACGGGCACCCTCGACCAGGCCCCGTGCAGCTGATCATGTCCTCGCAGCCCGTGGATGCTGTTGTCCGCATTCACGCTCTGTCCGTCGCCCAATTTTCGGGCGTCGCTTGACGCCATTCCCTCAGCTTTGGAACCACTACCCGTCGGGCACTCCTTGACGGTGCTACGTCGCCCCACCCGACGATAGCACCCGCGCGACGCCGGCAGCGACCTGCGTGCGCGACTGCGTCGCCGGAATTGGCGCGCCCATGCCCGTGCAGGTGGTCGACGCGCCTTGCCTATCTTCAGACAGGTACACCTCGGTGATAGAGCCTTCTGCTGTCTTCCCCGAGTTGCCGGCGATTGCCATTGCGTCATCTGTCCTCGCGACCGCGTCTGCTGCTGCCCTCGTGCTGCGTTAAGGCGGGCTGTTGCACAGGCGCATGCCACCGACAGACTTGCATGCCTTTGCGTTTGCGGCCACCTGCACGTGGACCGCGCGCAGTGCGCAGTTCGCGCATCTACCCATAACTCGGTCGTCACCAGGCCAAATACCATGATCGGCACAGCATTGCAGCCGCGTGCACCGACCAAGTAGGGCTCACACCACTCCTGCGACCGACCTAGCCGCAACACGCTGCGCTGTCCGATTGCGGCTTGCGCATACGCTCGTCGTCGGCAATTCACACAATCTAACCGTGATCCTTGTGCCCTACCGTGGGACACCGTTGGCCTGCTTCCTGCCGCTCCAACGCGAAGCATCCGCGACCTGTCCCGTTCACTCGCCGGATTCGGCGTTGGCTTTACTGACTGATATGGCACCTGGCGTCGAGCGGCACTGCGTGGCCTCACAAGCATAACCACTACCATAACGACACGAGGAGGCACTACGGCAACGAGAACCACAACGACATCAGCAACGACAATAATAAGGACAGGAAAAGGCTCCGCGACCATTGCCCACACTTGGGCGCCTTCACAGGCACAGGACAAGCCTGCTAAGTGCCGTCCGGCACCTTGCACATTTAAAGCCCGTGCAGAAGGCATTGCGCATTTAAAGCCCGCGGCAGCACAACCCCAAAAGCCGGCAACAATTTGTGAGGGCCTTGGGCTGATGAGCAGGCGGCATGCTTTGGGCTGAAAAGCAATGTTGTAGGTCCATCACTCTGGCAAGGCGCATAAGCCAAATCGGAGAGCTTCTTAAGAAGCTGCTCGGCCGTGCCCGTGTCTCGAAGCCAACTCTTTTAGGACCACCTCTATGTCCTCTATGTGATGAGTTACTTTCAGATCAGCTACACGCACGCGCGGTGACCGAAGGCAACCAACAAATTGATTCCAAGAGCTGCTTCCGAGGCCGCGAGAATCTGAATACTCTGGCATTGCCCTGGCAATTGCTTCCAGCTGCGACACAAGAACTTCAGGCTCATTACTGACGGATCTTTTGGCCTTGAGCAGATTGCCATCCACATCCAGAGTGTTCTCAACGGCCCATACAAATTTGGACTCTGAAGCGGGGAATACAGTTGCTAACGACTTCAAAGTATGGCATTCACTTTTCCGCTTCTTGTTTACAGCCTGAGGTCGCTGGGCCACTACCCATTGCAACTCTTGCAATTCTTCCAAGCAATGGATCTTGTCTCCAGGCATGGTCGAATATGTCTTCTCCAAGTGGTTGAACAAGATCTTGGAGAGCTTTTGTTTTCTTGACTGTTGAATGTGGCGGGCCTCCACAACTGCGTCCTCCCATGTAAACTGCTGTTTCAGACCGCACCCCTGCAAAGCTCGCCAAACAGCAGCCTCGGCTTTTGCTTTTGCTTTTCTTGGACTGTTCCATCCCTGACGCAAAACCGGTT